TGGCGAATCTAATATGTATGTATGTAATCTCAGCAGTCTAGAAACTAGACACAGCCAACAAAGACCATGGACATCAGCGGATAAGGGAAAGTCATCGCGTCATAATCCTTGTTGCATTATAGTAGAAAGTGAGCAGCACTTCAGCTAATATGCCGCAGGAAGAAAGGAACATATTGACAAATAGTAGTTTGTTTTTCACACGCCACCTTTTCTCTTTTTTTCATTTTCAATGTCTGAAGTATTAAATATGTGAACAATACAATACTGTACACAATTCTTCCACTGATTTCGGCTGTTGGCCATGTCTTCAAGGGTGTTAAGCCATTGGCACTCCTCATCTTTGGGTCTCCATCCTAGAAGACGTACGGATCCAACAGCGGCTAGACACGACGTCAGCGATTTCATGTGCTGTCGTCATGTGGAAGGCTGACCACCACACGGTCGCCTCCAGCCAGGTCCTTGATGAGCGAATAGATCGCGACGCGATAGTCGCTCAGGTGCCATGCATAGGACGTGACCGAGCCATCTCAACTGGCCCAGCAAAATCAGTTTGTTGAAGGGAATAATCGCATTCCCCAAGATGCGACGTCGAACGTCATTGCTATTAACTCGATGTTGCCGCCAAACACGAGCGATCCTCCTTAAGCAACCGTTATCGAAGGCAGAAAGACAACGCATGTCTTCCACGCGAATCGGCCAGGATTCGCACCTATACAACAATACTGAGCGAACTGATGCGCTGTAAACGCGGACCTTTAGCGAGAATGAGACGTCACGACGACGCCACAAGTGCCTCAGATTGACAAATGCTGATCGAGCTTTAGGGATACGAAGCGAAACTTGTATGTTGATAGTGCCGTCAGCAGAAACACAGCTCCCAAGGTAGACGAAATTATCTACCTGTTCAAGTCGTGCATTTTCGAGAGTGCATACGGGCGCAGATGAAAGCCAATCCTTGAGCAGTACTTTACACTTCGATGGCGAAGCAGATATGATCAACCTTGTGTGAGCGTCTCAAACTACGCTCTTTAACAGACTACCAGTTTAAGTGTCTCATTTTCGTCAGCGCTCTGCAATCCCCCAGTGATGCTGAGATACGCGCGCTGCTAAGCTGGATCAGGATCCTGATCTGACACTGAAGGCCCTCGTAAGCGAATGCAAACGGCTGCTTACTCTAAAACACGACACTACCCTGGTCGAACGGAATGGTCTCGCAACACCGAATATCGTTCATTTCGTGAAAAAGGCCAGGACTGTCAACGGAAGCAAACCCTTGAAGAGGTCTACGTACAAACCGCCCACAGCATGCTGGTCATGCGGCGAATGGCATTTCGTGCGCTTTTGTCCGTTCAAACGTTATATTTGTCAAACGTGCCATAAGTGTGGGCATAAGGAGGAATTCTGCAGTCAGGTCCGGTCGGAGAAAGTGAAGGGGAATTCCAGGAAAGATGACACAGAGTTTCTGTCCATAGTTGCCGCATTCCAAAGTGCGTGTAAACCGAGACGGCGATTTATCAGAGTGTTGATCAATGGGATCCCAACGAAACTGCAATTTGACACGGCCTCGGACATCACGATTATTTCCATGGAATCACATGAATAGGCCGAAGATGATCGAGTCTCAGAAAGTGGCACATACTGCATTCAGCGGTGTGTTAAACTTAGTAAGCGAACGTACTTGCAAGATTGCTTTCAAATATGTGGAAAAGTCGGGCACGTGCTACATTTCAGACCGGCCTGATTTGAATCTTCTTGGACTCAACTGGATTGAAAGTTGAAACTCCTCGATGTTCCATTGAATCAGATCTGCAACCGAGTTCGAGCAAGTCCAGTCCCATCATCAAAGTCCGTCGAAGACATGACACATACTCTGAAACGAAAATTTGCCTCTGCTTTCAGCATGGCTTGGGCCATTGTACGAATTTCAAGGCAACGCTGAGTGTGCGACCAGGTGCTAAACCAGTGTTCAAATCTAAGAGACCGGTACCATATACATCCATGTCAACCGTTGATCAAGAACTCGATCGACTGGTGCGTGACAGATTCATCACAGCCGTCAACTACTCATCATGGGCCGCACCTATTGTCGCAGTAAAGCAGGCAAATGGCAAGGTACGCGTCTGCGCAGGACGAGCCATGGACGGTTAGTTTAGAGCCTCCGTCGGAGGCCGAGGTCCGAAACGCAATCACAACCTTTAATCGTTTTCGTGCCACTGGCCTGGATTCCCTCCCACCTGCACTATTTAAGGATGGAGGTGAGATGCTCTGCAAAGCACTGACCTCCTTATTCGAACGTATCTGGAAGGAAGAGAGTGTCCCGGCTGATTGGAACGAATCGATTATAGGGGCAGTATACAAGAAGGGCAGTCGCGCAGACTGTTCTAACCACAGGGATATTAGCCTAAGGCCATTGGTGACAAAATTACTGGCCTCGATTCTCGTTCGTCGCCTCACTGTGGAACGCGAATCTCGGATTAGGGAAGAGCAGGCCGGTTTCCGCCCAGGGCGTGGCTGTATAGACCATATATTCACTTTGCGACAGGTGCTAGAGCAGCGCCACGCATACCGCAGACCGACGATAGCTGTGTTCCTCGATTACAAGAGTGCGTTCGATTCAGTCGATCGATCGATTCTGTTCGAAATACTTGCGCGGAAAGGTGTTCCCACGAAATATGTGAACATCCTACGTGCTCTATACTCGAACACTACAGCCTGCATCAAGGTCTACGGTGGCCTATCGGATAGGTTTCTGACCACAAGTGGCGTTCGTCAGGGTTGTCCGATTTCCCCATTTTTGTTCAATTTCGTCGTGGATTCTATCATGGAGTGTTCCCTTGCGGAATCTCACGAGGTAGGCGTCGAAGTGCTGCCTAGTGGAAGATTAGTTAGTCTTGATTATGCGGACGATATCTTCTTGCTTTTGGACGATATTGCAGCGGCAAAATCAACCCATATGGCCTGTCCAGAGTGGTCCCATTATTTGGTATGCGCTTTGCACCTTCGAAATGCAAAGTGTTGCCGCAGGACCACCAACCACTTGATGACCCCTTGACCCTTGCTAACGAAGAGCTCGAGGTGGTTGATCAATTCACTTATCTTAGCAGCTGCATCGACATCAATGGGCGCATAGAAACTGACGTGAGCTCACGCATTGCAAAGGCCAGAGCTACTTTCTTGAACCTGCGGCGTTTTTGGCAATAAAAGGGACTTTCCCTTCATCTGAAAGGCTGTGTATACAAGGCCACAGTGAGGGCCGTTATGCTTTATGGGAGTGAGACTTTGCCGCTTCGGTCTGAAGATCTGAGATACCTACAAGTTTTTGATCATCGTTGTCTGCGAAGTATTGTTGGTGTCGGATGGCACCAGCGTGTCCTCAGCGATGACATGCGTAGGCGAGTACTAGGTGGTGATAATCATGCTAGCTCCTTAGAACAACAGGTAGCACTGAATAAGTTGCGTCGGCTCGGGCACGTGCTACGTATGCCTGGTCACCGCTTACCTAGGAGGGCCTTGTTTAGTCTGCCAGGTGTAGGGTGGCGCAAGGCCCGAGGTGGACAGAAGTTGATTTGGCAGAGGGAAATGAAGTTACTAACGATCAAACTAGATGCCGTTGGTCCGTCTCGTCTTCCGGGCTGGAGTCCACGTGATTCGCCTTGTGCTTGACTCTAGGCTTTACAGAACATGGCTCGCAGTAGACACCAGTGGCGCGTCTGCTGCCGTCTACTAATCGGACTGCTTGTTTAAAGTGTGTTTGGTGCTGAGTTATCTGTGGGGTAATGGCTGATTATGACACGTGGCAGTGAAAGCCGCAAGGAAGCTGTCTCGCCGATGCCGCCTTATCTTTGCACGATAGCCAGGTGTGTGTGACGGTATGTTGTCTACACAGGATGTAGGCGTCTTGGCCCTGAATGTTTGCTTAGGGCATTAAGGTTTTCAGGTAATTCCCCTTTCTCTCCATCTTGTTTTTCTTTATTTCAAATGTCATTGTGGTTGTATTGCAACGAAGCATCAGTTGAAATGGCTGATGTACTTCTGTTGCTGTTTTTTGTTTTCTCAGCTGGCCTTAACGCCGCACTGGACGACCATCAGTACTCATTACACGTACCGGAAGATATCTTTGCAAATCTTTTGGGTGCTTTTCTAAGCTTGATCTATCCGATATTGACCAAGTTTTGAGCGAGTCTTTGACGATCAACACTCATCGTAGTCTATTCCAATAGCGATCGCCCTTTGGTGGGAAAACGGCGCCGGCCATTTTCCACTAGTTGATGGATACCATGCTAGCGGACGTTTCTAGAGCCTCTGCATATCTGGATGATATTATAGTGATAGGTCGAACACCGGAAGAGCTATTTAACCTGGATGAAGTGCTTGGTTGTATACTTTGATGTTTCAACCGCCAAATGAGTTGCATACCCTGAGGATCGTCATTAAGTAAGGCGATATCATCAGTATAATCTGAGTCGGTCGCTCGTTCAGCCGGTAGAAGCTCTTTTCCAAAATGTTGGAAGCTTTCTAGCGCATTCGACAGAACGCCTTCGATTGTGAAGTTGAAGAGGAATGGAACATAGGGCAGTCCTGTCACACACCGCTCTTGACAGCGAATTGCGAGGAAAGCTTGCCATAGACCCTCACTCTGCCGGATGTATGAATAGTTCCAATCATCTTACTTTTCAGAATACCCAGCGTTTGGTCAGCTTTTGAATATGGTTCTCACTCTCTTTGTTCCCGTTTCTCGTATCAGACGGAATAACATCTGATGGTTACCAAGAGCAGCGGCTCTTTCCATTTCATCTACACGATGTAAATACCCGGCTGACTCTTCTGTCTTCAAGTTAGCACGCAATTTTGCCCATAGTAGTTTACGAGTCCTGCTGCGTTCGCTCTCAGCTGAAGTGGGTCGTCGCGCAACGTGGAGTTCCTGAGACCGAATACTGTATTGTGGGAGCAGGTAGAAACTTGAGTTTGTACAACTCCATTGAAATATGATCAAAAAGGTTAAAAAATCAAACTATGACTTGTCAATACGCTGATCATTTTTCACGTTTTCACGTTATATAAGAGAAAAATTGTTTAACTCCGTAGATTAGCTCTCAAGAATGTGAGATGCCTGTGGGTAATCGTTCATGGAATTTAAAATTTGTGAAATGCACATCCAATGACCGTTTGAATAACTGCACTGTGTTCGCTTTCACTAATTGTTGTGGAGCACCTGCAGAGGTCATTTACTAAACATCTGATTGGTAAACACTGCTATGAGTTACCAAGAACGTTGCAGTGAACTACCTCTCGAACCACTTTGGATTATACGGTTGGAGCACAACTTGTTGCTGCTTTTCAACGTTACACAAAAAATCTATTCCAACCTTCCTACACTTAATTTGCAACATTGCTCAACTCGAGCTCTTCGCAACAAAGATTTTACACTGGATATACCGAAGGCTAGAACGATCGTCCGCTCTAATTTCTTCCTAGTCAGATATAGCTATCTGTGGAACAAACTACCAATAACACTCATCACGTGACAATGTGGCAACATTTAGTAGCAGACTCGCCAATTACTTTGATCTAACTACCGTAAGCTCTATATCCACATAGGAAAATCCTTCCATGGGCTATACCAGGTGGGTCCCAAAAATATAAACACCAATGTTTTCATATCTAGGCCTTGGCCTCAAACATCTGCCAGAATCTTAATACATGAAACGCATGTCCCAGTACTTTACCTATGCATGTCACCCATGCAAGAGCATGGATTCTTCTATACAAATTGATCTATGCCACTATAGACAGTTTCATCAAGAGAAATATACGTATTATTATTATTATTATTATTATTATTATTATTATTATTTCATTATTATGTTTCGGTAAACCGTTCCAGATATTTACTACCCGACGTTCCAAGCACAGGGGATGGGGAACTCGCTTCATATCTGGAACCACAAACTTGTATTAATATCCACCTGTGCTGCAAGACGTTCGCAAATGGAGCAGTGGCCTTAGCATGGGGAATTCGCCTACATGTAGAATCCGCTAGATCATCCATAGCAATGAGGCTGAAACTTACCGTGATGCGATGGTTTGTGTGCCTCAGCGATCCATTGAGCTATGCTGGGTGGTGCTTTTGCACCTTCAGAATCACTCATACCAGATTGGTCAATGGTTAGAGGCCAGACAAACTCAGCCTCCTGTTCCTCCAGCTTGGGGGTTGGAATGAGGGTGGCACCTTATTCCTTAAAACGGGCTCCTTCTAGCCCAACGCCAAACCCACTGCCTTGCGGTCAGGTTTTTGGACCAAAGGCTTCGGTTGAGAACCCTAATCGTTCTCCTGTCTAGGCCTGGGCAACCTGACAGTATCCTGCCCACGCAATACCATGAATCTTACCTCAAACAAATTTCTGATGCTCTGGCCACCGCAGAGGATAATCAACGGTGCCCTATCTGCTGCATCGAGCAGGGTGGACAGGGGTTTGGATGCTGCTGCTCAGTCCTTCCCATCTTCTTATTCCCCCTCTTACGCTTTTTCACTCTCACCGTCCGGTTCCAACTTCACTTTTATCCCCCAAGTTTTCAACCCCCCCGATTCTTGGCTCTCCCCCAACATGCTTTGCTAAGCGTTCATACTCTAATTTCAACTCACATGCTAATGCGGAGCATCACTCCTCTCCTGTCGACAAGCCCATGTCCAACCAAGCGGTCCATTCCAGTTCTTCGGCTTCGATTTGGAGCCTTCGATCCTCCTTCAGATTGGCATGCCTCAATGTACGCAGATCACTACAGATCGGTCAACAGGCAGCATTTGCCCGAACATTGGGGACCCTCTCGATCGATATCTGCTGCTTATCGGAGGCCCACCTGCAAGACTCGAGCTCTGTGCTCACTCTGCGATCCCCTTCAGGTGACGCAGACAGTATTTTCTCATTGCGCCTATCCGGTGACGATGCAGCTTCGAGCACCGGCCAAGCTGATGTTGGCATTGCCCTGAGTCCCCGCGCTGAAGCTGCTCTGGTTGATTGGATTCCAGTCAGTGGCCGGATGTGTGCGGTCCGATTGGCTGGCTCGTTCAAAGCTTCGAAGTCGCGCGGGACTAATACGTGTCTATTCATCATCGCTGCCTACGCGTCCACAAACTGTAGCGATGATTCGGTAAAGAACGACTTCTACTGCCAACTGACCCAGCTCCTTCGCCACAGAAGAAGCACGGACACTGTTGTGCTGGTTGGGGATCTGAACACACAAGTTGGAAAGTTGTCCACTGATGAAATGCATCTGGGCGGTCAGCACGGTGTTGGCGGTTACTTCATTTTTGTGAAGATGCTCGCTTATTTCTTTCGAGCACTAACTTCCGACACAGCACCCGCCGGAGGGTGATTTGGCGCCCACCAGCCTTGGACGCAGATCGATCACATTGGTATCAGTTAGCGCTGGAGAGGCTGCGTCCAGAACTGTCGCTCGATTTGGAGCACATGTGTGGACACCGATCATGCACTTGTATGTGCTGACATGCGGATGCGTTTTGGCGACACCCACGATGACGCTGTGAGCGCATTGACACCAGCAAACTGACAAAGCCAGCTGTTCTGAATGCGTATCGAAATACGCTGACATGCGAGTTGAGTAAGCGCTCACTGGAGACAATTGATGCTCACTGGTCACATGTTCACCAGACCTTGCTGGCAGCAGGCAAACTCTCATGTGGTATGTCTAATAGCCAACATGGATATTGGGTCTCTTCTCGGTCTCTGGAACTTATCGACGCTCGCCGGCATATCCCGTCTGGAAGCGAGCACAATGAAACTCGCAAAGAGCTCCGGGCAAAACTCCGCGCTAGCCTGAAGTGAGACCGCGAATCTTGGTGGTCTTATCGTGCGTCAGAGATGGAAGTGGCCGCTGCCCTTGGTAACCATCGCAATTTATTCCGTCTGATACGGGAAACGGGCAGCAGGAGGCCTGGTGTTAGTGAAACGATTTGTGACGAGAGTGGACAGCCTATCCACAATGTGTCAAAACGTTTAGAACGTTGGGCTGAGCATTTTGAAAAGCAATTTAATCGGCTAGAATTGTTCGATTCTTCGCCGGCCACTGCTCGCTCTGCTTCGTGGGCTGTCCCTTTGGGTCCATCCCCTCGCTCAGAAGTCGAACGTGAGATCGGACTGTTGAAGTTGAACAAAGCCGCGGGACCAGATGATCTTCATCCAGCCCTCTTCACATTCGGAGGCTCTGCTCTTGTTGATGCTTTACATGAATTACTAGTGAAACTGTGGGAGCAGGAGACTGTCCCAACCGACTGGGGCCGCTCCGTTATTGTTCCCATCTTCAAAGGAGGCTCGCGTTCGGAATACGGCAGCCATAGCGGAATCAGTCTTATCTCCATCGTCTCCAAATTACTCGCCTCCATAATCCTTCAAAGACTGATTGGCGCCCTTGAAAGCCAGGTTCGTGAGGAGCAAGCCGGGTTTCGTCGGGGTCGTGGCTGCATCGACCACATCTTCACCTTGCATCAGTTGTTGGAGTACCGTCACACATATTGGCGGCTCACTGTTGTCGTGTTCCTCGACATCAAAGGTGCCTTCGATTCGGTTGATCGATGTGCCCTTTGGAATTATCTACTCAAGAAAGGTGTACCCGAGAAATATGTAAATATTATCCGAGCATTATACGCGCGTAGCACGGGCAAAGTGAGGGCTTACGGCAAGCTGTCGCCACCCTACAATATCTCCAGCGGTGTGAGAAAAGGACGCCCGCTGTCACCCTTCCTCTTCAACTTCGCTATTGACGAAGTCATGGAGATTGCATTTACAGGACATGACTTGGAGGGTGTGGAGCTACTCCCAGGAGAACGACTTCTTGACTTAGAGTATGCAGACGACATTGCCCTAATCTGTGACAGCTCCCAGACGTGCCAAGCCGCGCTGGACAGATTAGCACTGGTTGTCGGCCGCTTCGGGCTTTGCTTTGCACCATCGAAATGCAAAGCGTTCTTCCAAGATTGGCAGGAATCACCTCCTGCACTGACCGTTGGTGCGGATAAGCTAGAAATCGTTCGGAAATTCGATTACCTGGAACGTTGTATCAGCGCCCTTGGAATCGAAGACAAGATCACGAACCGTATAGCAAAAGCTCGAAGTGCTTTTGCTAACCTTCGCCACCTATGGCAGCTGCGTGACATTACTCTCGCCCTGAAGGGTAGAGCGTGCAATGCTGCCGTACGTTCGACCATACTGTGCGGTTGCGAAACCTGGCCCTAAGATCGGCGGACATGAAGAGGCTAGTTACGTTCGATCATCGGGGCCTTCGCAGTTTGACTCACATCTGGTGGGAACACCATGTGCGTAACGAGCGTGTTGGACGCCTTGTTTACAGCCCAGGAAAAGGCACTGAACCGCTCAGCACCTTCATTTCACGAACCAGGCTCCACGTGTTGCGCATGCCATCCCATGGACTTCCACGATGTGCGTTGTTTGCTCACCGGTGATGTGGATGGAAGAAGAGGAGGGGTGGTCAAGCGATGACTTGGTCAAGAGGAATGAAGGCCCTCACTTCTGGGCTTGCCTCAGTTAGAGCGTCACGGCTCCCTGGTTGGAGTCCAAAAGCCGATGAACACGTTTGGCTGGATACACTTGATGACATGGCAAGGAGCCGACCTCAGTGGCGTTTCTTCTGTGAGTTTGTTTTTTCTTCCCATCCCTTTTAGCCTCCTCTTCCATCTACGATCTTATTTCCTAGCGTAAAAAGTAATAATTTTTCTTTTTGCCTAGTAGTTGGCTGGTAGATTACCGGAGCGATGCCTATCTGTTGCTGGTAGCTCAGCTGGCATGCAACTGTTGTATTTATTTTCCTTTTCCCTTATGTGTTGCGGCACAGTAGCTGAGGTGTTTCCCACCTCTAGCTGACGTGTATAATGACGATGATGATGCTAGATCATCACGAGCTCGACACGTAACTGACGGTACGACAGCGTGAACAGCCCCAGTCTCTCGCACCTGTCCTCGTACGGTAAACCTCGCAAACTGGAGATTAGCCTAGTATTGACGTGTTGTACATAAATAAATAAATATTTTATTCTCGACTATGCGAGGCACGCCCATGGAGGCATGATCAGACATTTTATGGCAACTATAACAGTGACAGTAGAAAATTGTTCATATATCCATGATTGGAACTGTACAATGGTGAAAATGCGAAACAATAATTTGGCTGTCGTGAGATCGGTACCCTTTTTTTAGGACATAATCGGTCTGCCATATATTGCAGTCATACCTCGGCGAATAATAAATTGAGAATCCTGAATGATCCACGGAAGATAATTGAAGAGCACGCTCGAGAGAGATATGACAACACAGTGGGTTCGTGCATAAGTTACGCAAAGGTCAACGGTGATATCGTAGAAAGTAAAAAGACGACAGTTTATGCGTGAAATCGTAGAAAGCGAAGACGACCGTACATGCAGATGTAGAAGTTCAAGTGTAACGAACCTATTTAGAATGGTGACGCTAGTTGACCTGCCAGTGTGAAATTATGGGCTGTGACTTTATTCGGTGGTGAGTCACATTCGCCACGTTGCAGTGTTGTTAAACGGACATTTGTGGCTTTTTATAGCGAGAACGCTTGCCAGTCGAAAACACATCACGTCCTGAAACACTGCCGCCAATCCATTGAATGGCAAGTTGTAACTGGCTATGTTTCTGGTTGAACGTTTGTTTTCTCGGTTATTCGCAGCCAAGTTGCGTCCCATTTTTCTGCTGGCTGATGCGTTAGGCGAGTGCCTATTGCGTTCCTGGGTCCTGTCCTGTTTTGAACGGATGGCTGTGCCCGATTGGTAGGCCAGGAACTAAACAATCTTTTTGAATATGATGTGTTGATCATCTGCAGAACCACGTGAAGTTACCGAGGGATATACATTGAAATATGTTGAATTGTTGTTGAAGTCTTGAAGGATAGGATATGGTTCCCAAGAATGAATCGCAGATCCCCCGGGGTATGTAGTAAAATTGATTAGAAATATAGGAAACCACGGCAAATTGAGCGGTCAAAGCGGATTGAAGAGCTCAAAATGACCAATTCTTCTGGCTTTGAATCGGCAGGAGAACGTACCTTCCGAAGTCAAAAGGAGTTCTCCAATCTCCTTCAGTCTTCTGCGCCTCGCCGCGAGTGATCGGGCAATAGGTGGGCGAGCCGTACTCTAGCGTTGATCTGATAATGGAGGAGAAGTGGGGAGTGGTAACCTTTTCAAATCAGATGCGGAAACTAGGTTTGAGTGCCCAGAGCACTGCAGTCCGTTACGATATAACCTGTTCGTGTTATTAACGGACTTCAAGTCGCAACGTGCGAGTACTTTTAGGTCCTTCACAGAAGGAGTGAGGTGTAGCAGTTGGCCCATGAATACCAACTTGGCTGCGTTGCTTGGGAGGCGGACTTCTACAGGCCACACGGAAAGATTGTTAGGTCTTGTTGTAGTAAGTCGCATTCTTCGGGTGTGATCATCGCACGGCGAACGAAAAAGCTGTGGTAGGTCATTTATATAAATCAGGAACAATGTAGACCCGACACGTACGCCACTGGTCGAAGGATATCAATCGGTCAGCTGACTACCGACTTGTAACCTTCACTTTCGTCCAACAAGAAAGTCCCGGACCCGCTGTTGCAGTGATCCACCAAAGCCACAAACTCTCGGCTTTAGAATTAGGACCTCATTTTTCACCTAGTCTAACGCTTTACTGAAATCGATGTAGAGCACATCGACAGACTTCCCTTGGTTCATTGCCTGCATCCATTCATGCCTCGTCACGCGCAGGTTGGTGATACATGAGCGACCTGGGGTGAAACCATGCTGTGCGGGCGTCAGATCTTTTGACCGGAACAGCTGTAGCAAACGTTTCTTCACATTCTTCTCTGCAACCTTGGCTAGAACAGGTGTCGAACAAATTGGCCTATAGTTGTCTACTTTGCTGGGGTCACCGCTTTCGGAATCGGTCTTACCACAGAGCATTTCCAATCAATCAGCAATGTACCTTCGGACAGAGACCTGTTGAACAGGTCAGTTACGGCAGGCGAAATGATGACTGATAAGTATTTGCGAATCAGGGAGTGGAGCTCGTCAATCCCAGCAGGCTTGGTGCCGTCAAGATTTTCGAGTAGCTGACGCGCCTCTTCCACATCACAATCCAGACTGTCGAGTTCGGTAAGGGTGGTGCGCGCCGAACTCGGTACAGACACCTGGTCATCTGCAAACACAGGCGCAAAGTGCTCCACCGAAGCGGAAGCACGCTCAGTGCTGGAGGTTAGGGGCTGTCCGTCCGGGCCATCTAGCACTGGCACATAACCTACTGGTTTCAGACGTCGCTTCACGTACCCAAAGCTTCTCTTTTGGGCGGTTGCAAGCTGCTCTTCGAAATGCCTACACTTGCTGATTTTCACACAGTTGCAGATATTTCATTGCTTTTTATACATCTTATAGTCATCGTCCGAGCCAGAAATAAGGAATTCTTCCCATAGCCTGCGCCGCTGCCGAGCCAGCTTACCATATTTTTTGTCGAACCAATGTGCTTCGACCGGTCCGTTTTTCCGACACTTGGGAGGCACAAATTGGTTACACAATGAATTTATTCCATTCTTTATAACTGACTAACAAGCTTCAGTAGATGCAAATTGCCGCAGAAACCAATCCATTTGGCTCGTGGCTTGAGTCAGGCCGTCGAAATCCATCTTCAAGTAGTTGTAATCAGGCTGCAGTCTGTGAGATTGCTACAGTGGCAGCTCCATGTGAGCATTAAGAACTGTGTGGTCGCTTGCTGCCAAAGGCTCCTGAAATCCGTATGTCATACACAAGTTGTTCATAGCTAGTTAACATCCAGTCTAAACACGACGGAGTTGAGCGCGGTGTTATGCGCGTCGGTTGGCAAATGTGCTGTGCTGCCCCAGTTTCAAGTACCCTGTCAGCGAAGTTTTATTCGACCTCACGATAACCGATGATAAGTTCCTCTTCAGGCCAACGTATTCGAGGACAATTGAAATCGCCTATGGGTAGCCATTGACAGCCATTTATGTCGTCTCGGAGGTGTGGCAGCCAATTTAAACATCGGCTCATGGGACTGCGATAGAATACACACACGAGCGGCTCTCCGCGCCTGAGAGATATCGAGCAGCACAACTGCTCACATAGGCTATCTTCGCTGTAAAGACCCACTGTCCAGGTTAACAATCAGATTTGTCGGATAAAGACATATCAGCTGCTAGTAACACGGCATCAGCGGTACGCTGGTACGCCGTACCGGTGCTTTGCTACCACGCAACCACCACTATTCGCGCGTGCGCTAGATACTTTGTGGGTTGCCCGGTCCCCTACGCAGGCTCGATCTCACGACCGGGTTGCAAGACAGACACCTTGCCCTTTCGGCCACGGGCTGGCAAAGCACAGGATAATTAAGTCAGGTAAACTTGTGACCAGTGGCGATCAACTTCGTTCTTTGAGCGCGATGTATGTACTGGGTTATGACAGTTCGAATGTATGTTGGCCTATAACCCTCTATAATTTACCACTTTAGATATACTCTCATTCTGGAAGCCCATATTGGCATGCTCCCTAACACCATGCACCTGCACCGTCATGACGAAATCATTAGGTGAGGATAGTATCATTTCAAGTTAGCCGCAACATCTGTTTCCTCTACTTTTACTATATTTCACAGCATTTCTATTGATACAATAGTTCATTGTGCTCGACCAATACCACCATATCAGTCATCAAACTGTTACCGTGTTATGTTCAATCTCCACATCGAACAATGATTTGTTTCGTTCGTATTGAACTGCCACTTCTAACTCCGCAAAATACCGTTTTTATCCAACGGTTGCTACTTGCTTAACAATAGACATGGTCTTTTATGCCTGTGTCGTTAGTTGCACAGTTTCGCAAAAAATGCGACCACTGCTCGTCACTTATCCTAAAGTTAACCAGGTATTGCATCCTTTACCTCTCCATCTCACGTAGCTGCTTTTGTTTTCTTACTATTTTAGCCTGATATTGCAAACGCAATTACACAACCTCATCTCACTTTTTTAGTATTCCACCTAGTCTGAAGCCGGTTTGTTTCTTTTGTTGTGCGCAGTTTGTGGTACCGAAATGCTTCGAGTACTATCCATTCAAAGTCATGTGGTGCATGGGTACGTGGGCAATCGCAGTGCGGTGTTTCCACTACAAGTGCGCTCAGCTTCTCTACAGTAATATCAATTTTCTCTCAAGCTCCTTGGTATCGAAGTTGACTTCATCAATTCCGTCCAATTTTCGAATCATACCGGTAATTGCGACTTCTTACGCAACACATTTAATTTACCCAGCGTACTCTTGCTTTAAGGGTCAGGTGCTTAAAGCAGATGATCTTAGAGAGCTTTACAGTGGATTAAAAGCCAATGGATTGCACCGCTACACTCACGTTCTTACAGGTATGTCTTCGGCTTTTCAAGTATGCCTTCCGTTTTCATCTGTAGGTTATGTTGGATGCCCTGGCTTCTTGGAAGCAGTCGGTGATATTGTCCGTGATCTTAAAACGGAGAACCCCAATTTGAGATACTGTAACGTTTATTTTCTCCTTTTACTAATCCTGCTTTCTTCATAGACTGTGATCCTGTCTTAGGTGACTCAGGAGAATTGGTAGGCGTTATGTTTTCTAATTCTGCTACTTGAGAATTAGGCGATTCTGAACTCGAAATATCCATAATCGACTCTATCGCAATAGTACAGGGCTTTTATTTCATTTTTCGCTGTTCAAATTCGCAAACAAAACAGATGTTTGTGGATCACAGCGCTGTTACTAAGTATTCGAGGTTCGTCCTTAATCACGCGCCTCATGTTCAAAAATTCGCCATAATTTGTCGGAGACTCATGGCCTAGTATTGCTCTCAACTCATTAACACTTGCTATTTCCGTGTCCACTCTTCATGTACATTGCATACTAATAATACTGATGCTTCAACTTGTAAGGCGAAACGGATTGACAGCACCGAGTTTGGTCTTCAGTGTATTCATTTCCCGATGCCAAATCAATTTTGTTCATCTTGCACCTACATGTGACAAACACGAATCCCTTTTCGGCATGCGGTGGTCGGACATACGTAATACAAGCCAACGCAATTTATTCAGTGCTGTCTGTTGTTCTAAAAAGCTAACTTGCTTATCACTGCCTAGTGCTTGCCTACTCACGTCATAGTTGCGGACGCGCTGGTGTCACCTGGCACCAGCAATACTTCGTAGATAACGATAATTAAAGACTTGAACACACCGCATTTCCAGATCGAGGGGGCCAAGTTTCACTCCCATTGGGTAAGATGGCTCTCACTTTTCAGTCTTGAAGTGCGAAGCACATGCCAAATGATGGAACCATTAGAGAGATTATTCAGTTGTTACCGCCGCCTCAACATCGTTAGACGGCAAGACGATATCGTTCGCATAGTCAAGATCAACTGGCCTATCACCAGGCAGCACCTCAACACCTGCATCATGAGATTTCCGCAAGGGACCACTCCATGATATAGTTCACGTCGAAGTTGAATAAAAATTGGGAAGATGGACAACACCGCCCCACGCTACTTGTTGTCGGGAAGAAATCCGGCAAGTCACTGTAGACTCTGAAGCCTCCTGTAGTGTTCGAGTACAGAGCACTAACGTTTTCACATATTTCCTGCGAACACCATTCCACAAAAGTATCTCGAACACAATGGATCGATCGACTGAGTGTAACCCACTGTTGAAATCATGGAACGCAGCTGTTGTCGGTCTGCGGTATGCGTGGCGCTGTTCTGGCACCTGCCGCAAAGTGAATATATGATCCATACAGCCCCGTCCTGGGCGGAAACCTGCCTACACTTCCCTAATCCGAAATTCTCCTTCCTCAGTGAGGCGGCGAATGAGAATCGAGGCCAGCAATTTTGCCGTTACTGGCGCTGGACTTACACCCATGCCGTTTGCACAGTCGGTGTAACTGCCCTACTTGCATTATGCCGCTATGATCAATTCACTCCAGTCAGCTGGGATGGTCTCTTCCTTCCAGACATTTTCAAACAGGGAGGTTTGTGCTTTGCAAAGGACCTCACTATCCTTAACTAGTGCAGGCAGGAATGAGTCCGGGCTATCCGCATAAAAACGGTTGAGGGTTGTGGTGGCGTTTCGGACTTTAGCCTCCTATGGAGCATCTAAACTAATCGGCCATGCCTTATGCTGCATCACTTGCGCAGGAAGAGGTCCGGAAGCAGGGCGCCAACTGAACTGATTTTGGAAGTTCTGCGCCCAACGAGCAATACGGCGATCCTTATTGTGAATCAATACACCTGCGCTGTATCTGATTATCTCACTGACGCCAGGTTTCCTGAGAATATTGGTGTGGTTCAAATTGAAGAGCTTGCGGTAATTACCTACTGCTTCCGCTTCCTCCGTTTGCTGAGCCCTAAAAGCCCACAAGGCTTCTTTGTTTGCCCACAGGCTCCGCTTTAGTTCGCGCCTACTAGTCCGCTTGGTCATTTTATGCTCAGAGCCAGCAGGGAGTTTTTTTTCTGGATTTTGACAGGTCCACTGACCTCTCAGATATCCAGTGAGTGGTGCGGTGGAGAGTGATGTTAACACAAACAGATGCTACTGCTTCGTGCATTATGACCGAGATTATATTCTACCGAAGCTCAATGTCATTAGGACAAGAGAGTGAAAGTTCGGTACGTAGGGCATCCTGGTAGGCTTGCCTGATTGATATTTGATATAATTTCTCAGTTGCCATTTCAGAGAGACGCTTGGTGCGCCAGTCCAAGATGGAGCTACGCCACCTGTAACTTCTGGCAATATGATCAATTTGGGTACATTGTTGACCAGCTACAGGAGGTCGTCAAGTGGCACTTCGGCGCCATCTTTGTCTAAAAGCCGTGTACACAGCTGTAACAGCCGCTTGCAGTTGTCTGTCAGTTCGGAGTTAAGTCCACACTTACCATCTTGCGGAGTTTCTGAAAGGTCCAGGCAATCTACTCTCGTATTCATATCATCTGCAAGTATTATGATATCAGAATCGGTAGTACTGCGTAGTAGTGTGTACACTTCGTGATAGCAGGTGTCCTTAGTAGGATCAGAACTGCAGTCAACGAGGACATAAGCGGAAGCCACAAACACATCGCGTTTTTTATTGCTTTGTGAATCAACCTTAGTTGATCCCGTCAAACGGGCTGTACACAAACTGCTGTTCATGAGAATCTAATCAACTAACCATGACTCAGTTTTGGAGCTGCGAACACTGTCCGCTCTGCTTGATCAGTGATTGCCACGTCTGCGGATGTGTGCATCCAATGGCAAGAGGACAAGCCGGGTGCAGTTAATTCAACAACCCCGTTGAGAATCATTGATCCTAGCTTTGGATACACAACACACGTCAGTACACAGTGTGTTAAACATGCGTGCTACTGCAGGCTGTTGACCTGTCTGTCATAATGTGCGATTTTTGCACGCCGCCAGGGACACGGGGCAGTGTGGCTTTATAAGCGACTGTCGCGGATAAGCGTCCAATTTGTGGTGCGGGAAGGTAGCTGCAGATGCTTCGACTCCAGTGGCAGTACGGTTGCTGTCAATTGTGCTATTACTTAAAGAAGGAAGGACTGGGAGGGGAGTAAGAGAAACAGATTGTGAGGAAAGAAGGAAGGCGCCAGCAGTAACATGTTTTCGCTTATCCGCCCTACTGTATGCAGCAGGTAAGGCGACCATTTCTAGGCTGCACGACGGCCGATGCGGGATGTGGTTGAATTTTGAAGCAGTCATGGTTGTACGTAGGCTGAGATACTGCCAGGACGCCCAGGGCTACACAGATGAATGGTTAGGGTCTTCAACCAATGCCCTTTGCTCACATGGCTGTCCGCAAGGCAGCGGAGAGGTGGCAGTGATTTGGTTTTACTGAAATCGACGCCATCCCATCACAAACCACCAATTTAGTGGTTAGGGAGCCTGGGTTTACATGATCTTCCGTTATTGACCAGCCCTAGTATAGCTTAGTGGTTGACGAGATTCATAAACCGTCGCATTACGTCAAGGTTTATTTTCGTTGCAACGACAATGGTAACAGTAGTGATGATCATATTATTCATAGGTGTATTTCTCATAAGGTGAGAAGCTGCGTCCTCATTTAGCGCAGATTATATATGTACATGTGATGCCATGCTCTGGCGTGTACAATATGAACTTGTGGCGGATAAAAAAATAACAGTATCTTTCTCGACAGTGCGAGACGCAATCGAAATAGATGGTATGATCATTAGGTACAGCACAATCGCATGGAGCATATCTTTTCAAGTTTCGTGCCTCAGTTAAGTTACTTTGGGAGGGCCGGACTAATGCTCCCATCTCTTTCGGGAAGATTGAGAGGTTGTCACAAATAATAAATGTAATTAAATCCGAAGGTCCGGTTGAACTAGAACGGCCATTCTCGGAACCGCCTCCTTGGCGAATTGGCTAATTCAATCCACCGAAAGATTTAGTCAGGTTAGTATTTATCATCTGCTGATCAAACACAGTTGTTAGATGGTCTATGGGATATGGTGTGGTCAAAGGTCTGTTTGCGGCTCTATGTTCGTCCCTTTATTTGTGTGATTATTTCCTCTGACGTTTTTATTTATAGTCCACTTAAATTAAATTTTTGTTGTTGTTCTTATTCATTGTTTAGTTTTTGAATTATCTGCCACTTGACTTGATTGCGACATACAATCTCAGGCGAGACCACAGTTTAAAGTAGACCCGAACTAGAATGCACCTCGGGTCCTAATTGTACAATTTGCAATACTGTTCTCCTGTATAGGATAGACACCATTGACTGGTTGTATTTCTCAGTGATGCGGCAACCGCCTCTCAGGCTGTGGTGAACACCATTCTCAGCTCCTCAGCCGAGTCATCATTAGTTAATTCGATCCCTGTGAACAACCTTTCGTATACGTCCCGTTTGACAATAACAACTAGGATCGATCCATGAATAAGCAATAGACGATATTTGCTTGCGGTTACTGTTTACGCCCACACCATTCTGACGCTGCCAAGGCTACATTTTAGCACAAACTGAGCACCCTGGTTCGCAGTGTCATCAGTTAGATACCGTTGTTGCAGGAGATATGAATACCAAACTAAGTGGTCTGGACTTTTCACAAGCTTAGTTAAGTGTTAAGTAGGGACTTAACTTCGACCGAACGGTCATCGGCGGGCGTCTGTTGCAACGGTGTACAGATCACCGTCTATGTCTTATTAGTATGGTTTTTAGGCACAGTGGGCACCGATGTGCCACTTGACGTCCTGTAGCTGGCCAGCGTGGGACCCAACTAGACCACATTGCTCTAAGTTACATGTGGCGTGGTTCCATCTCGGATTATCTTTCGTTCTGTACCACGTACCCCGGCCCGTTGCCTAAAAGATCACAAGCCTGCTTTGTAATCTGAAGTCGCGGGTTCGAGTCTGTCTAGGTGGCCGGGCGACCCTCGCAGTATCGTTAGCACACACAGCGAAGCGTCGGTACTACGTACCGGCGTACTTCTGATGCCGTTACGCTTTTTACACATTCGTTGACTCTGATCAATCTTTTTTACGCCGTCGTTTTTCCGTGAACTTTATCGCTAGGCATACGAAGCGTTTACCTCGATTGGTAA